TTTTTTTTAATATTGATGGAGTTCATTGAATTGTATCATTTACATTTTGTATCCATTTAAGTGTTGTTTCACAATCATTAGAGATTTGGTGTTGTTGATACTGTTTGAATACATTTCATCATTAGAATAGAATTGACAGTTTGTGAAAGAAGACTTCTACCCAAGTTTGTCTACAAAAATTGTTTTCAACTGTGAAAAGTGTGCCAAATGAGAGTAAAATAACTGATGTGGAAAATACAGCTGGCTTTATACTTTAAAATATGTACTTAACTTTTGATCTTTGTAATTTTAAAAAGGTGATAATGTACTTCGTGAAACTCACAATAATCGTTAGCTGAAAAAAGTGAATTGTTAAAAAGAGAGAACTTTTTATAATATCTCTGATAGTCATTTAAAACTTGGAAAGTGTAGTTAGTGTGCACATTCTGTGATGTTTTCTTCTAAGTATTATATCATAGAAAAACTAATGATTTCTACAAATCATTAAAAAGGAGACAAACATTTTTATTAGTTTCAATAAGGATAAATTCAAAAGAATATATTACGAATTTTGAGTTAAATCCAACTTAGTTGATGTAAGGAATGAGAAATAGTAATATAATTTCAGCATATGTTCAGACTTCCTTTGCATGTTCTTTATCGAAAAACAAATGTACATCTGAAACGGGGCAAATGAATACATGAAGTCCTGAGAACATTGTGTGAATATCAAGTACCCCTGATTTCTTAACAAAGTTACTGTTGAATAATTTAAAAATCAATAAATGATGTGCTGATTGGCATCAATTAAAATATCAGTTAATTGACATCATTTTACCAGTCATTTTTGTAAAATTTATTTTGAATTTAAGTATATCAAATGATGATATGATTAATTTAATGTGATAGATCTTTTATCATAAAATCTATTAACAATTAGTTCCAAGTGTTTCTCCATCTCCCAATTTTCTTTTTAAAGTTCATTTATTTTCACCAAATTAGAACAAATATGTAGGAATATCTAATAATTTTTGGGAATATCCACCCATTTATTACAAATATTTAGTACAAATTAATCAAGAAATAGATGGTTTATTTTATAATTAATTTAAAAAAATTACAAATTAAGCAATAATGTTATTATGAAAATTCTTTTGAAGATCATGAGAAGCTAATAATATTATTGTGAAATTCATAATTGTTTGATGAGAATCAAAAAGTAATTTATAATAATAAATAACATGTTTATTGCAGCAGTGCATTAAAGCAATATTTGTTTTCTTTTAAATTTGATTAAATCTAATAAAGAAGTGTATGAATATAAATTGATGATGTCAATTAAATAAATATAATAAATAATGTAAATTGAAAATGTTTGTTGTTTTGCCTTTGTTTTTAATTAAATTTGCTTTTTAATTGTAAATCAAGGCTGATGTTTTAGCTAAACAAGCACTTACAACAAAATGTGTTTTAATAAAAAACATGAAAATTAATAGGAAAGTCTTTCCTTCGATGTATTTTCTTTTAATTTTTATCACAAAACAAGTTAAAAATATTCTTTATTCAGTATTTCATAAACAAAAGAATTTAAGAGGAATAAAATTACATAAATAATAAAACATTACACGTAAGCTTCCGCGGCTCGAATCCATAAATTCTCGGCTATCCGGGAAATGCCGCATCGTTGGCTGTGATGCCACCAGCCAATGACGCTGCACCCCAGCCGACGGCACCCCAGCCAACGACGCGGCGTCTCCCGGATAGCCAAGAATTTAATAAAATGTTAATTAACATTTCTATCTTGACACTAATTAAATTTACCAATATTTAACTAAAAGCAATATTTTCAATTCCTAACCTTCATAATATTGAATAAGAAATCTTGAAAATGTGTGATAGTTATTAATTACACAAGAATATTTCACTATTTGTAAAATATTCTTCTGTAATAAAAAATACTGCATGGATTTAACCATTCAAAAAATTTCTCATACTCTGTAAATCATTAGTGTTACCTTTTTATGTCAAAGATTTTATTGAATTTTCTTCCATATTGGGGGCTCCTTGACACATGATATGATTTACAATACTATTCATATTTTAATGAATAATATCTTATTAATATTCTGAATGGATTCAATTTCTCCAGTATGTTTGAAATTGGGACAGTTTGAGGAGAATATATCATTTGTGGTACATAGTTACACTTAGAATAGAATTAGAAAGAAATTCATAGAATTCAATTACTTCATCTTGAAGAAACAAATAAAAATTTGCACTTTCTGTTGTGGTTGTTGTGTTTCCGTTACTTCACAGAAATGCCTTAAATAATTTGACACTGACTGTCATATTTCATGAATCTTTTTGTCTGTTTGTGGATGTAATACCAGAAGGAAAGAATGCATATTGATTGAATTAGAAAGTGTTGAGACAAAATACCTTATTATGTTCATACAACTAGTTTTTATCTCTTTTTTTAAAAAAAAAAATAGTTTTTGTTTATAAATATGGAAAACATTGCTATATTACTGAAAAATAGTTTTTTGAATAGTCAGTTGAGAGAATATTCTTGAAAATTTGACTGCGAAATTTAACAACTTGTTATTATATATGAGTGTTCAATGAACTAGTACCATTTTTAAAGCAGTATTACAAAATTAGAAATTTTTAATCTATAAAGAAGTTATAATATTTTAGAAATGTACATTTTCCCTTTTTGCTTCCCACATTTTGTAACTTTCAAGGATAACAATTATATCTTATGAGAATGTGAAGAATGTTTTTTGTTTCAAGTTATTTAATCAAAATGCATTCAATCAGAACAGACATAACAAATAATCCTATGGCAATGCACAATTGATTTTGTGAAAGTTTCGAATATGGATAACCTGGCTTTATTGTGTAGGACTTAATACTGAAGCATCATAAGATATTTCTAGTTGCCCAATTGAATTTTCATAGATGTACCTAAATATTGAATTTTTGTTTTTAAATACATTATATCTATCTATATGTAGATAGATTTTTGCATTCAACCAAAAATTTGTTAATATTCTTAGTTTTTCCATTTTTAGATTTGTGCTGTCATGAAGATTTGAACCAAACAAATATTTTATGATTTAATTTTATAATATATTCAAGAGAAGTTCTGAAAATTTCAATAAATAAAAATATATATAATTTAGAGGGATGTGTCAGTAAAAAATTAAAATTAAAGACTATTGCATTGTTTGATTTTTATTAAAATTTTCAAAAATTCTCTTGAATATATTATAAAATTAAATCATAAAAAATTTGTTTAGTTCAAATCTTTATGACAGCACAAATATAAAAATGGAAAAACTAAGAATATTAACAAACTTTTGGGCATATACATGGGTATAAAAAAACATTAACATAAATGTTTGTGGGAGAAAATTTTGCAACTTGTGTGTGCATCCTCACACACAGTTTTTGATTGTTTTTCTCCTACTTTTAACTTATGTGAAGTACTTTTCATATTAATCACATAGTGCAAATTTATTTCTGGAACAGTTTGTCTTCCATTTTGTTTAAATTGTTTATTAATGATATAAGGAATACGGAAAAGTTGATGCATGAATATCTAATTTAATTGACACATTTAAAATGTATGTTTGGCTGAACTTTTAAGACAGCCTGGTGAAAAATGTTATTTTTCAAGAATGTAAAGCAACATATGGTGGTGATTGATTTAATATTAATTTCTTTTCATCTGTGATAGACAATTCTCAACTTTTTATTAATAATTTGTGCTAACTTCCATGAATATTTATGAGGGAAGTCGAAGAGACATTGCGGTCAATCACTCGACAATGTGTGTACTCCAGGGTGACAACTAATATGTAGACCGCCTCTTATGATTGTTTTCCTAGTTTTTATTGTGCAATGGACATTAACTGAAGTTTCTCGGAAGTGTTCAGATTGAAATTGTCATTTGTCCAGACTCCTATTAGATTGCTTTTTTATAGTGCTGAATGATTAGTTGCAGAGAAGCATGCATGATTTAGAATATTAACATTTTTTCTTATTTACAGATATCCACTCTAGTTCTAATAAGAACAACTGTATGTCTTTTTCATGATGCCACTAGAAGTGAATGCTGCATTGGATAATGGGCTGAAGTAAATTGTTTATGGCCATATATAGTCACCACTTGTCATTTTGCCAAATTAGAGGCATATGCCATAAAGTTTTGCATGTGTTGCTCTAGCTTAAGTATAGAATTTATTACACTGCTATATTACAAGAGTACACATGCATGTAATTTATAGTATTAATTAACTTTTTTCTTAAAAAAATCTTGGAAAATTGGTATTGTAACACTTAGGTATTTCTCTTGTGTTGTGACTATTCCAGGAAATATGTGGTGTTAAATATTTTGTTCCATTTAATGTAGTATCTGTTTCATTGTTTTTTGTTGTTGTTTTTTTATTGCTCAGTATGTCCATTAATTTGGTGTAGTTTTAGAAAGTGAGGGAAGTAGTGTAATATTTGGGACTTACAAGAAATTTCTCAGTTTATTTTTAATTATCGTAAAAAATTGCCTTGTATAAAGCAAATGCAGAACAACATTCATTTGTCGTGAATGAACAGACATCCATCAGAAATATATTGCAGGACAATCAACACACCAATAATGTTTTCATTTTCAAATGTGCTTATGTTGCCAATCTTTGATTAAGATTATAAATACCAGACTTGTAAATACATTTTCCCTTACAGTTGCTTTGCTTAGGATATTTACCTTTTGAAGGTCTCATGATTATGCTTGTGTAGGAGCCTATATATCATGTCATGGTATTGGTCAAGTGTTTATCTTGTTATGTCACTCTTTGGTTCTTTTTTACAGCAACAAATCACTATTAAATTACCTTAAACAAAATTATATTAATCAAAAATACCAATGAACCTTGTTTATCAAATATTGTCAATAAATCTTCAACTTTCTACTCCAGCTAGTTGTGATCCTGATCTTGTAATGTGTGTTCATTTGTTTGTTAAATATTTGTTTTATACCTATATTTGTAATCAATGGAATATTTTAATACCAATATCAGCATTTAATGGGATTATTATTTAATTGGCTGTCCGGGTGACGCCGCGTCCATGGCAAAGGTGTTGACGTTTCGTAGCCCGTAGGGCGTAATGAGGAAGGTCGCAGAATGGTGACCGAAACGTCGGCACCGTTGCCATGGATGCGGAGTCACCCGGACAGCCAATTAAATACTGACTCCAGCCGTGGAAGCCTACACTCTCATTTAATGGGATTGCTTCTGACAATTAGCAAAAATCATTGTTATTCATGATGTAATTTATTTCTTCTTTTTTTAAGCATCATGATAAATATATTTTCAGAGTATGTATAGATTTGTACAGATTTGATTTGGTTTGAGTTTTGGTTTTCAATTCTGCTTATAATTTCATTTAGAAATTGCTTTGACTTACAAGAGCACATATTAAAATAAAATATTGTTCTACACTCCTAATTTGTGATAGCTATTTTGTCTTAATTATTGAATTAAGAATAAACATGTGCAATAGTTAGTAAATTATTATATAGTTAACATCATTAAAAACAAAAATGTTGCTTTTGAAATTGTTAACAGAATTTAACATTGTTGGTAAGAAGAGAAATTTTAAAGTGTTAAAAGTATATAGTGACAATCAATTGTTTCCTGTTAAAGTTTCCTGAAATGAAATTTTAATGTTATTTTATGTGAGAAGGATAATACTGTGGTGTGTATTTGTCCTTTTCTAACATGAAATTCAAAATATATTTTTATTGGTGATTGAATATAATTTTAGAATTTATAAAAAAAAATTGTCTTAAATTCATATTTTAAAATTATTCTCATTTATTTAATTTTCTTAAATAATAAAATTTGTTATAATAAATATAATGTATCACATTACTACTTTAATTTTAAAAGTTAGAGATTCTCTCAGCTTTAAAAGGATTGTATATTATTTAGTTTTTTGTTGTTCTTTTTCTGTGATTTTTTTATCTTCATGTAAAAGTCCATCTCCTTGTATTTCAGATACATGAGTGTATGTTAACGAAATTTGGTTCTTTTGAAATTGTTTTTGTAAGTGGTTCTGTGTATAATGTCATATGTGTAACTTTCCAGTTGTCAATTAGCTTTACATAATTATATATTCAGTAGATGTGAGGACGAAAGAAGTCTTAATTGTCTGTTTATTGATTTCATAGTTTTCTTCAGAATTTTTGATTTCTCAAAGTGACATATAGAATGGATTTATAAGACAATCAAGTATTTCTGTATATTGAAAGGTGAAATCAGGTAGAAGCTTAGGAGGAACAGATCTTGTAGAAAAACTACAAATGTGATAAGAAAATTTATGTTCTAAAAATTATTTTAATGAGCAGATGTCCTTCCATTTTTCCTTTCTTTCAATAACTTATAATAATTTCAAAAATTAAGAAAAGTTATTAGTTAATTAAGGATGTTATTCAATAATTAAGTACACAGTCTTTTTCTTTTCTTTTCTGTTCTTGTTTCAATAACACTCTTCCCTTCAACCAATTTCTTTAAAAACTTGAATCCTTTCAAACATATGTAGACATTATGAACACTGACGGAATTTAAGAGATATAACACTGATGTTATAATAGTTGAAGAACATATAAAGGAAATAAAAATATTAATATTCAATTAAATTTTTTTCATGGAAAAATTAGGGTTTAGAGATATTTTTCATATCTATTCTAACAAAGTGTGTTCAAAAACAAGTGAGAACTTTGTTTTATAGTGTTCATTTAATTCCTGTCCCAAATTTCATGACAGTACGCCCAATATTGTAGCTCTCTTTGTGTGTATGTATTTGTGAACAACTCCTCATGAATTTCATAACATTTCTTCATGTAAGTAGAAGTAAGATAAATGCCTTAATCTTTTCTTTATGTACCATTTCTAAGGGGTGCGGTGATGGTTTTCATTTAGTCTCTATTTTGAGATGTTCTTTCATATCAAAGAAACTCCAAAAATTAATTTTCTTAAAAGGCATTGTTAAAAGAGAGCAATGAAATTTGTTTTCAAACCTTCATTTTTTCTTTCTCATGAACGTACATATATACAGAGTAATATACATAGTATAGAAAGAGTTGTGTAAAGCAGAAAATTGATTTGAAGGACTGAACAGAAATATATGTTTTGGGATTCCTTGATACCAAAAAAGTGTTTGTTTGTTTGTTTTTCTTTTCCTTTTCTTTTTCTGTCTTAAAAACATCTGTCCATTTGCAAACAACATTTAATACCGACAACATGCATATGATTTTTTCCAAAATGAATATTCCCAAATCACTTGGTCTTATTTCAAGTCTTCTGATTTTGAAAAGAATTCTTTGACGCTGAATGACATGAAGCCCCTGGAACATTTTCAAACTTTTCTCAATAATGGCTTCAAATTTTTCCTTTGGCTATCTTGTTAGAATAGAGTGAAACACACTAATAAAGACGACATAGATTCAATTTTCACTTTTAACTCTAAATTTTGAAAAATCACAAAAGTTTGAAATTTTTTGGATGCTTGCAACTACATTGCTGAAGATAGAGATTTTTTGTGAAGATGCAATTTGTTCTCCATAGTTAGTTGTTTATTAATGACAAGTATATTTGCTTTTTAAATATGAATAGTTTTAGTGCAATTCTACGTAAAATATGGGCTATATTAAAAACATTAAAGACAAGATTTTCTCAAAAAGAGCATCAAATTTTTTCTTTTAACTTTTTGTACTGATAGAGATAAATGCACTAAATAACATGTTATAAATGCCACTTTGATGTATTCTTTTAATGTTCTGACAATAACACAAACTAAATTTCTTGTGTTGTTAACATTTACATTATAATTTTTTTTCTTTTTCCATTATTGTGCTTCAAATAATTTCTAACAAAGTTTTTCAGAAATTGAAAGTTTTCTGTGAAAATTAGCTTAAAAATGCACATTTCCAGAAATGATCAAATGGCATTTTCCTCAAAGCAGCTCCAAATTGTTCAATGAAAATTTGCGTATAAGTTTAACACTTCTATAATATTATTAAATCATATTTCTACTATTAGAGAAAAAAAGGTTACTATTAGAAAAAATTGAGAAAATCTGAAAAAAATGTTCTCTAGGTGTCGATACTGAGCAGCTGGGAAGAGAGTAAAGCAATACCAGAAGGCTAACCCAGACTGAAGAGATTATTAAACTAACTATGAGAAAGTTCTGTACCATTCTGTAGCACTATTATTTTTAAAATTCTTTTCAGATAGCAAGAAACTCAAATCTTGAATGAAGAAATATTTTGCATTGAAGCATTATATAATATTACTCCATTTATCAGTAATTAAAAAAAAAAATAAACTCGCTTAATCTCTTATAATTGGAAAATAATCATCTTAATGTTTTAAATTATTTGGTAATTCTTAAACAATATTTTTTATTAATCTAAATTTCAGCATTTACATAAGTTTTGCAGAGCACTTCATTGTCATTATCACAGATTTATAATTTCTGACAATTTGCTTTTATCTTTGAGAAAATAACTCGGGCAGTGATTGTAATTCCTATTAGTCTCTAATTAGCAAATCAAAATTTCTAATAACTTATATGTATTACCTTCCCACTCTCTCATGTTATTAAAATTTTCAACCTAATACAAGATTCCAATGTTAATATCACTTTAGAATGGTAACAATCACAGAATAAATCAGATTAACTTTGTTAGTATACAAGTGGATATCAGCAGTTTTTTGTTGTCTTTTTTGTTTTAGAGTTATATACATCAGTAGGTCACATTTTTAACAATGTTTTTAATTAGTGAAATCATTGAAGTGCTGTTGTACTAAATTGCTGATAATTTCTTTTTTTTTCCTAAGCCATAGAACAGGAAAAATATACAGGAAAAAATCCATCCCTCTGAATTGTTACATTATTTTCTTTAAAATATTATATATTGAAAAGTGTGTTGAAAAACAAACAAGTTTTATTTCCTGTCTAATAAAAGTTAATGAGTAGTCAAATTTAACGGAATCTTTAACTAGATTTATCTCAAAACACAGTTATTGATATTGGTGCGATTTGTTTGTATACCATTGATTTTATAGATTAAAAATAAAGAGAGGGAGAATCTTGCAACAGCTGAAAACTTAATGCTGTTTTTAGCAACTGAAGAAATATGTCTAAATCAAAGGGGGGGGATTTTAATGAATAATTTAAAGGTCACTTCAGATTACTAGAGACATTTTCTAAGAATATTTTTCATGTTTCTATAGAAATTATTTGCTATCATCCATAAAAAATTGTTTTTTGATGTTCTTGTAATCCTAAACCTTTATTCCCTTTCGCGTTCATTCATTTTATAATGATTTCAAGAAACGTAAAACTGAGAGAAGAATGCTGAGAAAGCTCCTCCAAATTTGACATTTCTAATTCTTCATAAAAAGAGTCTTGATTCACAGATATCTAAAAGATAAAGGTGTACCCTATAACTTTTAGTAACTTTTAGATTGTATTATGTTACAGCAGTTGTTGAAATAAATAATATATTGAGACAAAAAAACTTGGAAAAATGTTACAATCATGACAGCAGCTGTTAGAGTAGTAGTGGTGGGAAGGAAGTGCTTTTCACCCAATTTTTTGTTAGATATTATAAATATAGACTCACGGGGGTAGGTAGCTCAGCATCTACCTGCTAAGAGCTTTTTTTTTCATGCATTTTTTAAAGTTTTTGACAGATGAATGATGGAAAAACATTTTTTTAAACAACATGTTATCATTTCACAGTGAGTGTGATTTAAGAAATAAGTATCATTGTTATAACATGTTATACATAAAGTGCATTTAGTAAAAGTATTAAATTAGAATAAAATTACTATATGTACCTGATAATATTGGGGGAGATGTCTCTTTCTCAACCTCCTACCAGAGATGCCCATGCTTTAGTATTGCCTGCATGCATTATATGGTGTGATTTAGAGGAAATGTTTAAGAATGTTCAAACTGCGAGTCCCATTCAATTTAAACTCCTTCTTTAATTAGGAATACAATAATAAAAATATATATATATTTTTAAAATAACAATATTCTGAATGCTATTCTTCATTCTTATTTATTCAATATTATTTTGTATTAGTACTGTTTTAACCTCTTTTTTCATCCTCATCTTTTTAAACTCTATTCTTTTTTCATCTTTTGATTTTCTTTTCCTTCTTTTGTTGATGTTATGTTTGAAATATTTATTTATATCCTTTGAGACATTGTTTTATAGGAAAGTTTTGTGAAAAATTCTTGCCATTTAGCCACATTACTCAATTGAAAATACCTTTTTTTGTATTCCAGCATTATACAAGAAACTTTTCTGTTGCACGAAATTGTTCATAATTGGGCATTTTACGGCACAAATGACGACGTATTAGATTTTATGTCACGAATGATTGCATCATCACACATTCAGCCAGAATTGGGCAACCACCATAACAGCCGACCACCGTTTACTCGCACAATGTCAAATATCCAAGTCGTCACAGGGAAGTTGTTTCGCAAAATTAAGTTTGATTCTCTTATAAATGTATATTGCTGTTATACAAAAAAATGTAGTATGCAACTCGTTTATAATGTTGATTTATTACATTCGTATGAATTTGAAAATATGCTCCTAAAGTCGCTCGTTTTCAAAACATGTATCATGCAATAAAGCTTAACATTAAACTAATTGCATAAACTACTATTGTCTAATATGTACTGTGAATTGCAGAGTTATCTAACTGAGTATTAGCTTGGGTTCATTCTGACATATGCTCAACAATGAATAGTGAGTTATACCATATTTAAGAAACGTTAATGCAAACTTTGTTGCAATTTAATCATAGACTCTGGTTTTATGTCGATCTAATATTGTCTAAAATGTTTTGGATTGAAAGATGACCAAGAAATTTTAAATTATTAACATAATTAACATACTAATATGATCAAATTTTTTATGATAATTAACAAGAATTATACACTCATAATTTCCAATTTTTTTCTCCCAAAATCAATTCTAAAGAAATCAATTTAATAATTGGAGTTCTACCATTTAATTGTGATTGCTGGCCCCAATTAGAGGAAAGGATTATATTCAATGGAAACCTCATCACCAGAAAACTTTTAAAATTGATGAAGACAAACTCTGACTTTTGAAGGATTATAAGAATATATTCTTAGATTTTCAGACCCCCTTTTCCTAATCCCAAACGTCTCATTAAAACAATTAATTTGTGAATCATAAAATCTCCTGGCAGCAAAATATGTCTAGTTTGCTGTTTATTTCAGCAAGTTCGTGATTTTGCATAAAGGACTTCAAAATGTGTTTAAAGTACAATTCTGTATTAGAAATTAATCACTCCACAAGTTCACCTTTTTTGTAAAAACTGAACATAATTATACTGACTACTTCATTAAGTCTTTCTGATTACCAATATTACACAATATCCTTTGCTAGCATGGTTTACACTTAATTTTCATAATATTAAAGGAAGAATGATATCATGAAACACCTATATTTGGGTTTTATTTCTGTTAGATGCAAATTTTCAAAATTAATCAGGATATTTTGTCTAATTTCTTTCTGAAAAGGTTTGGATGGCTAGCATAGTGAAATAACACTGCCGCTCACCCTAACTTGTTTTTTTAAATTTATGTATACAAATTTAGGTTTCCATTGTTGCCAGGCCTTGCCTCGTAGGGCAGGATGAGGCAAGGCAGGATGTGGCTCAATGGAAAAAAGGCAGTGCGTTAGTAAATACCTGTTGGTTACTTCAGCTAGGACTTCATAGCAGTTCATTAATAAAATAATATTTTAGTATATTTTTATTTATTGGAATATGATTATTGTATATGTTTGAATGAAAAAGAGATTTAAGGAAACTTTAATTTGAGTATCTTTATTGTCATCATGAACTATAGGTGCTTAAGCTTAACAGCCTGTTCCATATTTATGCAGTGTTCCTGGTAGTTAGTCTTCCAGGTGTTTCTGCTGTTGCCACTTCTTTTGTGGTTTTCCAATGTCTCTGTTCCCTGCTGGTTTATTTGATAATTAAATGATTTTTTTTTCTTGAATCTCTTTTTTCTGAATTATCATATTAATATGTTAATAATTTTTTTCCAAACAATTGTAAAGTTAGACCTTTTGAATTGAATATTTCTTTTAAAGTTTCTCATTTTTAATTACTAGATCATAAAAGATATTAAATGAGATTTATTATTATCAGAAAAATAAAGTAAAAATTTGTAAAAATTGTAAAAATTTAATAGAAAAGGAGCATCAGATCAACATTTTAACATTTTATTTTACCAATGAAATTCCCAAAAACTTACAAAATATGTTTATATTAATTTACTTAAAACTCAGAAAATAAAAACACAATGTTTCAGAATGTTGTTGACACAGGAATATTTTGTTCCATTCAATTAAAAAAAACAACTCTTTGAACATTAATTATCAGGAAATGAATCACTTTGAAAAGAAAATTCCTGTTTGAAATTCCTTTCAGAATATTATTGATTTGATTGAATTATGTATTATGTGTATCTCGTGCATAATGTTAAATATCCAATAATGATTTTTGACACTATTTACTTGGTTTATAAAATTATAATTAATTTAATTGGATTTGATGATCAAAAATAAATGCCAAGATGGGTGCTAATTCATTTTAATAAAATTGCAGAATATTGGTGTATAAAGATTTTGTAGTTTTTGAAATTTGGTTGATAGTTTCGGGCAATTTGAATTGGGTATTGTCATGCCCCAGGAGCTCTACTTGACATGTTAATTTTTTACAGAAAATGTATTTTATTATTAGGAATTATGAGAAAAAATACTGTATTAAATACAACAATATTTTTGTTAGAAAAAATGACTTTATGGAACTCTACTAAATTGAAGTCTCAATTTGCTCTAATTGTATTGTTTTTTACAATTTGTTAACTTAAGAGTCAAAGTAACTTAATATGTGATGCCACATGGCATTAGAATATGTGAGAAGAACAATGCTTGTTAGTAGTTTTAGTATATGTATTTAAGAAAATATGAGTATTTCAAATTTTGGCATGTTACGATGCATTATTGGCATTAGTTGTAGCTTTGAGCATGTTGGTTCAGAATTTCAACTGCAGATGTAATTATAAGTTGTGGCATCAAAATTATAATGCTTTATTTTTGCCTCTGGAATGATGTATAATTTCGCCTGTGTATTAAGTAAAAATTAAGAAATACATAACAACTTTAATTTGTTTAATAACTCTGCTGAATTTTTATAAAGATTTGTTGTACAGGAATTTCATTATATGAAGAGAGGCAAAGCAAGGACAAACACACTAGCAGAATGAAACTGTAGATTTTATGCAATAAAAGATATATTAAATGATTCCCATTGAAGATCTTTAATATAACTTGTTCATTATTGTCAATAACTTGTTCATTATGTTTGAACAAGTAATAAATATTTAATTATTCATATGCCCAAAATAATGTAGTCAGTGTATATTTCAGAGAATAGCAAACAAACTATTAATATGTTCAGATGTATGCAATTGAGCCTGTACAATTAAAGGTGGAAACAAATTCTTACATTGTTGCTGAATTAATAATTGAAATAATAATGTAAACTTTAACTCTAGAAAAGAATAATATACATAAGCAAAGACTGAGCCATTGATTTAAATAATTTGACCTTATTTTGATGGTAGTACAATGATGTCATATTAGAACAACTGCCTGTGCTTTTTTAACAATAATTTTGCAGTGGAATGATTGTAAATAAACCATTTTTTGAATGGGAAAGGTTTCTTTATTATAAGTTTTTTAGTGTCGTGTACTCAAGAGTGTTCATACAATAGATCTGAAAAAAGACATAACTAAAAAAAAAAGTGTAATGCGTAAATTCTGAATGTGAAAATTTCTATAAAAGAATGTGAACATAAACATTTAGCACTGTCAAAAGACAAAGTAGTTAAAATAATTATTATATCGCTACTTAAGTAACAAGCATAATATGCTTTCGTATTTTCTCTACATAATATTATATGTGAATGAAAACATGTGAATTGTCAATTTGAAACAAATATTTCTTATTAATAGACTGCCTTTTATTTACTTATCTATGAATGTTCACATTTATAGTTGTCTACCCTGTAAGTTACAAAAATTGTTAAGCAGGTGTAGGTAAGCACAATGTGTAAAATTGTGCATGTAGTATTACAAAATTGTATTACAAGAAAATGGAGCTACAGGAATCCCACATTAATTTCCAGCAGTGCAGTTCTGGAATGCTTGTACTAGTTATTTTCTACTCTTTCACTACAAATATTGTGATTTATTGTGATGCCCTTGAAAATACTATTCTCTTGGTGTGAACACAGGAGTATACTGGAATCAAATGTTTTATGTGAGTATTCATTAGTGATTGTTAAATAAAAAACTATATCAAATCACTAATTCCTGGATACATTGGCTGTTTTCACTGAATGAGATATTATAATTTTGTACACACATTCTTTCTTCTGCATCAACTTTAATTGCACTAAAGTAAAAAGCTACATTAATAATTATTATAATGTTTCATAATTAAGTTATTTAGTAATAGTGTATCCTTGTACTTAGTTTTGCTTTATGAAAGGCCAGACTGTATTGCTCTCACTTGTCATATTTCATGTGCTTGTATCTCGCTTCACTTTCCAAAGTCTTTAACATTACAATGGGAGTAGATTTAATGTTCCAGATTACTTTCATAGCAAATCAAATAACCCTGAAAAAGGAGAAGTCTTCTGAGAATCATAAAGAATAGTAAGCCAAGTCTGAAACAATACAATCATTCATTATCAACAATACCAGAATTAAATATTATTTTTTATACTAATTTATTTCGATGCTACCTTTTATTTAATATTGCTCAGATAAATAGAATTCAGTTATTCTCTAAAATAAAATTATTCACTTTTCATTTCAGTTGAACAAAAAGTTAGTTATATATTCTATAAAATTTAAATAGAAAACAATAATAATTTAATATGATTAAGGTGCAATTCAAGATTCTCATATTTTTTTTGTTTGTTTGTTGTTTTTTTTGCATTTTAACAGGCACATTGTTGTCTGCGGGCACATCACCTACGAATCTGTATCGCACTTCCTGAAAGATTTCCTCCATGAGGATCGAGAGGATGTGGATGTGGAGGTGGTGTTCCTGCACAGGTAAATAGTAGTCGCAAAGGCAAGTTCATTTAGCTGGGAAATTGTTTAATGTTAAAACATACAAGGTGATCAAATAAATTGTTCTCTTGACCTAAAATTTGTCTACATCAATGTTGATTTTCTGAAGAACTATTTTGAAATTATTCATTTTTATCTTATGACTTTTAAAAAATATGTTACTGTTACTTATGATCAGTATTTTAGCTTTGGAATTGTTGTAAAATTTCAACATTGAAGGTAATTACTAATGAATTAATTTTGTGAAGAACTGGTAATTTGAATCTAATACAACTATTGTTCAAGTTGTTCTAATTTAAAGAAAATATTAAGGTCTTTAACAACTGTATGAAATATGTATGTTATTTACAACTTTATATGATCAAATTAATCAAAATACTAAATTATTTGTAATTTATTTATTAATTTAAGATAATATACAGGCAACAGTACAATCTGTTGTGACCTGAATCATCACTAACATAATTAATTACAGCAATTGTTGGGAATACTATGACATTTTTTCACTTATTTTATTGTTTGATTAAAGTTGATCAGTAACCAAGTACAAGAAGCAAATTACTCCTTTTGATAAAGTCATAACTACATTTTGAAATATACAAGTGTAATTTATTCATTGGTGACCCCGATACCAAATTTTCCAAATTTCTTTGGAGAGTCACAGACTGATTGTTTTAATTTCCAAAACTAGTCAAAAATCATTCACATACATCAAGAATGGTAATGTACTTTTGGAAAGGATCTCATGAATTTCAGATCATTAATGAAGAAGGTAAAATATAAAAGGCAAAATTGTGACCCCTGAAGAACACCCAAGATAATCTTCATATCACAGTTAAATTAAACAATTTGAATTTAACATTTTGAATTTTATCAATCCAATCCAATAAAAAATCAAATTATATAATTTTTTTCAATAAATTTTTTGAGAAATCATTACAAAATTGAATGTAATTATATTGTTGATTCGAGTTTTTCAAGAGTTAATTGTTGAAATATTAATAAATTTGTTGAAAATCATATTGCTCTTTATTAAGTATACAATTTAACAGTGTTAATTTGTCTGTTATTATTGACTTAATTAACTTTTGTATTAGCCTCCATAGGTCTAAAAAAACTTTTCATTTGGACATAGGCAAAAAATTATAGTCCATATTGACAGAAACAATCCGTCACTCAGTGATTTTGAAAAAACATGGTCAATATAGGTATTAGATTAGTTCTACAATTTTTCAAAAAGAGAAGATGTATTCCATCAGGTCCAGTACTTTTGATCTTCTAATTTCTCTAATTTCCCTAATTTCTCAAAAACATTCATTTGTGATGAAAAATGTAAGAAACATTCCTCCTCCTTCTCAGTAAACAAAATTAGCAGTGTTTTCATTTTCTAAATTAGTGTAGAAACTGTCATTTCCATCATGTTCTCAGTAAATGAAAGAAGATATGTTGCTTTGAATGTCTACTATTGAGCATTCTATGTCTGAGACTTGTGTTAAATTTTTGAATTAATTTACTTCTTTGGAGTGGTTAGTGGCCAGGTTTGTGTGTATCTCTTTACGAAGGTAATGCCGAAAATTTTTGGCAGTGGTTCTAGAAGGAATTTGGGGTGACTGGGGGTTGGCAATGCTTAAAAGTGCGCTTTTTTCTGTCCTTAAACCCAAAAAACGTTGGAGAGATGGGGTGGGGAATTCAACCGAACAGAGGGATGAAACAGCCTCTGTTGCAGACTTGCCATGCTCCAAGATCGACACCTTGTGCTGTGATTTTCGCGCCATGATTTTGTATGACTTTAAAAACGTTTTAAGTGTTGAGAAATGCTACCTATCTTTGAGTCGTGTTTTTGGTGAATCTGCATCCCTTAGAGCGATAATTGGAAATTGGTTTCAAGAATGTTTGAGAGGAATTCAGTCTTTGGAAAACGGACTGTGCTCTGAACATCCAGCCACAGCAGTGACAGAAGAAAACATCAGTGCTGTGAGAAGAATGGTGACAGAAGACCCACACCTGACATTTGCTGACATTGAACAGACTCTAAATATTGGGTCGAGTGCAGCAGAAACCATTGTGTATCAACATTTAACTCTCACTGAGTACTGTGCTTGCTGAGTGCCACATTCATTGAGCAGGAGCAAAATTCCACAGTGGTGAACTGATGCAAACTCGTGCCAAATAAATTTGATAGAGAGTGGTCTAAGGGCGTTAACAACATTGTAATAAGTGACTAATCATGGATTTACCCTGAAACTAAATGACAGTCAAGTGTTTGGTGCTTTCCAGATGAAACCCACCAAGGTGAGGAGGAATCACAGGTGCAGAAAGAAAATGGTTGCATCTTTTTTCACAAAGAGTAGTCATCAGACTACTGTTACCCTAAGAACTGTGACTACTGAGTGGTATGTAACACAACATGGACATCGAAATGTATGAAGTCCACATAAGGTGCAAGAACACAACAATGCTCCGTGTGAACCACAACAATGCTCCGGCTCACACGGGTGCAAGAACAAGTGACTTTCTCAATGTGAATATGTGAGATTGTTGTTCCATCCATCCTATTTGACCAATTTGGCCCCTTGTGATACCTTTTGCTTCCCCCAAATCAAGCAAAAACCGAGGACAGCGCTTTTCTTGAGATGAAGAGGCTGGGGAAGCCTAAATTGGCGCTATAAACACCGTTGCTGAAGAGACATGAAGTGACACATTTTGTATGTAGATCCAAAGGATGGAATAATGTGTATGTGCTCATAGAGGGTATTTTGAAAACATGTAACCATTAGACTTTCAATAAATTCATTATTTTTAATTCTGCTAAAAGCTTTCGGCATAACTCTCGTATGTATGACTGCTTATGTATGAGTGTGTAATTGCCTTTCAACAGATGTAGCCTGCTAGGTAGAATCCAGTTGTACATGACATAATTTTTATTTCATGTATTTTAATTTTTAAGCCACCCAATATTATGCTTCCACTCACATTCTTTTATACGCCGTTAATAATGTCCAGTGGTTTGTTTGGGACTTTTACTTTCTCAAGTGCTGATCATAATTCTTCCCTAGGTACACTACCAAAATCTGATTTCAAGTCTATGAAGGCAGTGTATATGTTTCCTCTTCACAGAATGCTTTCTCAGTAATAGTTTGTGTGGTGTAGTTTTGATATTAAGTTTTCCTGTGTGGCAGTTTATTGTGTTCAAGGGATGAATTAATTGTTTTAATATATTTTTTGTTTAAAGTTATCTACAATGCATCTACACATTATGTTTTAATAAGTTGCCCATAAATTACGTAATGCAGATTTGGAGAATTTTGAATATCCCCTCTCCCCTCCCCTCTGTAAGCGACAGTGGAACCCCCCATAAATAATTACTTAACGCTTGTGACACCCACCTCCTTATTTACAATAAGTAAGAATATATTTAATAACAAAAAATGTATTAATATTATTTGTTTTATATATTAAAATTTATAATAATTTAAGTCAGAATTAGTTGGCAATGATGACCACACCTAATAATAAGAATAGAGACAATTCTTGAGCAAAGAAAAGACATATGGGTGAGAAAATTTCAGACGATGAATCCCACTGATGGGGCACTCACCATCATGAATGATGCATGAAGAGAGATTGCTGTCCCGATGTATATGGATTCTGGACCAATTCAAAATGGGGTACTTAATGTCAGTTTTGAATATTTTTTCTTGTAATTTAACAGATTCAATTAATACATCATAACTTTTTGATTTATTTATGGTTTTTTAAATTTAATTTGTTATTATCTTAAAGTTTTGGTATGAGACTGAATAAAAGGGATTATTTCAGCAAATGTTGTAAAGAAAAAAGAAAATAAAAGAAAGAGAAATATTTTTGTACGTAACACTAAACTATTATATTGGGTAACACTAAACTAACACTCTCTATCCCTATACAATGCAATTTAAAGTTGCCCCAAACCCTTTTTCTTATAAAATTAATGGGCGACCTCTAAGAGGCACTGGTTTGGGCAGGACATGTTTGTGAAGGGGTGGGGGTGGGGCCGAGCAAGGCAGGGTGAAGCAGAGAAACAGAACAATGCCAGGTGGAGAGTGGATGTGGCATGGATGTAAAGAATATTACTTCTGTTTTACACTATCGATAGAATTCATCTTGTTTTCTCTCCAATTGATGATTTACATAAATAAATACCCTGAAAACGTCAAGATACTTCTGGTATCAGAATAAAGTAGCACTATTCAGAATTATGCATCAGAAAACATTGTATAATAATAATAATAATAATGGTCTTTTTTGCCTCTTCAATACTTGAGTTTTGTTTGAATATTTTGGAGAGTAATGTGTATTGTGTCTGTGAATAATGTGCAAAATTATAGTGTATATTATAAGTTCCTACAGTTATTAATTTACATGTCAAAATACATTTGTTTGATGTTTCTTTTACAGTAGATTTACTATGGGTTCATTTACTTCATCCTATCATTTTGAATTGTAATGTATATATGTACATTTTTTGCAGCAGCTACGCCCTAACAATATGTGTGCCAATCACTTGTTATGAATTCATACACAGTAACAACTTTCACGTCATCATTGCTAATCCTTGCGTATCTTTCAGGAAAGAGCCAGATCTTGAGCTGGAAGGGCTGCTCAAACGGCACTACACAACTGTCGAGTTTTTTCAGGGAACTATGATGAATGCTGTAGATCTAGAGAGAGTTAAGGTAAAAGGTTGAACAAGTGGTTCGGGAATGCTGCCATGCATCATCTAGATTCATCCCCATTATATGCTTGCTGTTCTTTGATAATTTGATGCTTGTTGTACAATATATTATGCTGAAACTGAAATCTTTTTGTATTTAGTTTGTACTGAGAAAGTAGAAAATATTTGCATGACTTTGTTATACACCATTGTATAAATGTAGATGCAATTAGCATTGTATTTTGTCTCCAGTTCATTTTTTCCAACATTTTATGTAAAAGTTGAAACAAATTTCTATATTTGTATTTTATAAAGCAATAGTTGGTGTATTACATTGTACATAATTGTGTTTAGAATTTCATCTATGCTCAGAGAAATGGGAAACATTTCTGTACTGAACGTTATAAATTTAAGGGACTCCTTTTCAGAAAGGATGTAAATTGGTTAAAATTGTTTGTTATTTTATTAGTTATCATTTCTTTCATATTTTTCAAAGTTTCACCTCTTTGTCTTTGAAAATAGTTATTTAATTACCATTTTAAAAAATGTGCAGTGTTGAATATAATAATTCTTTCATTTTTCTCTTCTTAACAAAATTATCAAAAGTTTCATGCACTTGAAATTCTAATGTTCATTTCATTGCTAATAATTTTAATTATATAACAATTTTGAATGAACTATTGATAAGATTTTTGTAAACAGACAGAGTTGTTTTAAAAAAATAATTTTATTTTGTGTGAAATTACGTAAACAAAGTATGGTGAAATAAAATTCGTAAAAATTTTGTAGTGGACAGTCATTGGGGTTTAATGTATACGTTAGGCTTCTCCTGCAAGAACAAATTGTCTAAATTGATATCTAAATTATGAGATTATTAGTAATGTTTCCACCTATTAAGTTTCTTCTAAAAGTAACATAGAGAAAGTGTCGATTTTTCAACGGAAAAACATGTTTTCTGGGTTACAGTAAATTACTTTTTGTCTACATTAATTACACACAGAAAATTACTTACAGCCCTTATATTGAAGCCTTAGCTATTGAAGAAGTTTTTTCTCAGGTTTTGATCCGTCCGTCTGTGAACAACACTTGTGGCTAAACAATACTGTGGATTTTCACCAATGAGCAAATAAGATTTTCTTGAAAGCAGCTCTAAATTTTGTCTTTACATTTTTTGCTTAAATAGAGTGAAGTTTGATTAATAATATGCATTAAGCCCTATTTCCTTTAACTCCTTTGAGCTGAAGGACATATCTGAAACATAAAATTTAATCTTACAGATATATTCTATGGATATACGACACACAATTTTTCACATTTATCTTCTTTGAGGCAATAGAAAAGTCTCTTCGACAATCATAGGTAACTTGACCAATACTTTGTAATGTCCATAATAGGCAGCAGAACAATCATCAATTTATGCTTACACTTGTTGAAAATATTTGCAATTTTTTGGAGAAAAAATATGACATTCATACTTGCATGCATTGCTGGTTATGTTTAAATGTTTTCCTTCTAAGTTGTGTTCATGATTGTACCAGGATGAACTGATATTTAGAATGACTAAATCACATAGTCTATCAACTTAGGAAACTGAAGATTGTAATACTTTTCTGAGTGCTTACATTATTTCACTTCAAAGCTAAATGTACTTGAAAACCTCAAAATTTCAAATAAACATCAACAAAACATTACTATATGTAAAGTACACTGTATTGTTGCCAGGTGCAGTTTTGTATTGTTTTTTCTTATTTTGTTACATTTTTACACAAAATTTAAAAAAAAAACTGAAAATATGTATTTTTGAAAATTAAGTTATACCTTATCACCAAATGACAATAGAATATCTATATTTCACAACCTTGGATTGCAAACTGCTTGGTCTGCTAGTGTTTTACAAGTTAAACAAAGATGTTGAAGGAATTTTAAGTTGACGAGCAATGCTGTGCAATAGGAGTAGAACTGCTGAGAGTTCCAAAATTCGCAATTGAACCGGATCCTCCCCCCTCCTTCTCAGAGTGAATTGTGCATACAGCAAGTTTCTCAAACAATTCAGTTCTAGTTGGCATGCCTTGCTTGAACAGAGAATATGTTTACAAACCACACAATATGTCGAATATTGTTGCCTTTTTTATATCAAAGTGGAGTGACAAGGCTTTAGTGTAAATACAGTACATAACTGCAGATCTACCACAATGGGCTCTGTAAAAAGGCTAAAAACTATTACTGAAAGAAGAAACTGTATTAATCATGATATGTGAATAAATAGTTTAGTCTTGTGAACAAACCATCTGCATTTCAATTATTTCTTTGGTGGAAGTTCACTTTGATATACAAGTGTTTTGGATTACATCATTTATGTAGAATAGATTATGCTTCCAATCAAAGGTTTGGCTATGCACTTACAGAGAAAACATGAAACTGTGAAATGATATGTTGCAAGTTAATGGGTACAGTAGTAATTTTTAATAACATATTAAATAATGTTCAGTATGCAGGAGTTAACCACACAGCCTAATGCTCGGGATCAAATGCGTTTAACACAGAATTTTGAAAATTGCAAATGTTAACATGCTTTTCAAGTTGGTATTGCACCTTCGATATGGAAGCTAGAGATTTATTCCATATACATACACAATTTAGAAACTATTAGTATTTTTCACTTAATTTTGAGTTACATTGTGTAAGAACCACTGCAATATTAAGCATTCATTATTGTGTAATAAATATAGATTACTCAGATTCTCATGTTAATGCATTGAATATTGTTAAAGTTTCTTAATCACAGTGCTTGATTTTGAATCCCAGACTAGATCATTTTGTTTTCTTTTAACTTCTTGTAAGAATAGAGTATAATAAACTCGTTTCAGTAGCAGGAAGCAATTTTTATTAAAACTTTTTTAATTTTAAATGAATTAAAGATCTATATTCTCTATAAAGATCCAAACCTCAACCACTTTGTTTGAAATGGTTAGGAATTTATGAAGTGTTGACTGATGTGTTAGTAGGATATTATTCTGTAATGTAACTGTTATCAATAGTAAGTGAAAGTTTGAGCTATTTAGCCCCAGTACTTTTGTATATTTCTGAGATTCACCAGGGTTATTGTGTTATTCTTGCTCTGAATTAGTTTCAGAAGTAATAGGTTTGTGAGAATTGGTAATCACTAATGGTCAGAGTGAAAGATATGCCTTTGTAATCATAGTTGATTTTATTTTTTTAAATACGTTTATAATATGTACAGTGTATACCCACTATTTGGAATGCTTTCATTGATTTTTGAAATACTATAAGAATGCTGTACTATACAAATAGTATTATAAAAACTACAATAAATGTACAAGAACTACTATAATGGAATAGTACTCATAATAAATATTGTTGTTATCAGTTCTCATGATTTTTTAATGCAAGTGAAAAGATAAAAGGTTTAATTTTTTATTAAATTCTTCTATCCAAATTAGATGATATTTCTTGCACACATTTTTTGGATTTAAATGTTAATCCACACATGATATGATAAATATTTATGCAGTAACAGGAAGCCTTAGAGAAGTTTGGAGTGGCAGATTTGGTACATAGTCTGTGTTTTAGAGAACTCATGAATAGTAAAGAAAATATGCCATGAAATATATGATATCTCGTTTTTCCAAGTGTTTTAGACATAGCTTTTTCAATGATTTTTTTATGTGTGAATATACAGCAGCTCCATTTTATTTTTACATTCTAATATGAGCAAAGCAGCAAGCAGTGTGGGACACTGCCATAAGCACTGTTCTGCTTAGTAATTGTTTGTTTCAAATCTTTCATTCCCATTCCTGAATTTCATTAACACAGTTGTTTGCCATTTCTCTATATAGGAATTATTTGTTTCACAAATGTAATTATATTAAATTATCAGTTGATGTTGTTGCAGTTCACTGGACATTTGCCATCCCATTTATTTTTTGTCTTTATATAAATTAAACAAATACTTTTCTACTTTCTGTGTGCAACCTAAAATAAAGATTTCAGTTCAAAGATGTGTTTTGCATGAAGTGTCTAAAAGCAATCATGAATCATGAACGCAGCTCCCGATTATAACTACCCTACCTTTGGAGTAGAAAAAATTGCAATAGTTATAATTTTGAAAGCATTTTAGTAGATAATTTGTAACTTTTATTGTTTTAAATAAAGTACTATATTATAAGTTAATACCATTTGTGAAAATAAAAGGAATGTTATATGTCATCTGTTTTTGAAGTTCCGTTAAAAATTGTTAATTTATAATTCATTATCTTATTTTTGCATTTGTTTATCCAGTATGAAAAATTTGTTTAGTGAATTTTTTAAGCATGAAACCAAGGAATATGCAAGGAACTGCTTCAATGATTTGTGATTGTCACTTAAAATTTCATTTAAAATAGAGAATTGAAATTCTCTTTCTTGTATGAACAATCTTTGTTTTGAAATCAGGTTTTTTTTGTTTATATTAATTACAACTTTTTTCCTTTAATGTGTGTCTGGTTGGATGGTTTTGTTGGTGCGGATTCTTGGACCCAACAGAAAACCACCTGATCTTGAACTGGAAGGTCTTTTCAAGAGGCATTTCACGACCGTCGAATTCTTCCAAGGCTCGATAATGAACCCCATTGATCTCCAAAGGGTTAAGGTGAGAAGAGACAAGAAGGGTTCTTAGGACTACTCTGGGGTTTGAAATAAGAAATTATTCTAAAAACAAGAAGAAAATCAAAGATATGATATTATACAAATTTTTGCATATCCATCCCTTGTACTATTTAATTGTTCATGTAGAAGAAATATATTTGAGATGAGTAATAGCTAAACAAAAATATGAAAGTTCTGTAAATTAAAGTATTTTTTAAATTACAGTTACAAATTAAGTTCTGTAAATTAAAGTTTTGCATCCATCACATTGCAGAGTGAGTTAGTTTTCTTGATAATAATGCTCTTTTATGGCATAAGCATTGAAGGTGACAAATTGCTTGTCATTGTACATACCTAATATATAATATAATTTCATAT